GACTTTCCTTTTTTCTCGCCATAAATGTTCATTTTTCATTCAGAGGGCAGATGAAATAATGAAATGATTCGGCTGCACTTTCAGTTTTGGATTAGTGCGGTCCATGGTACTCGGCCATTCCATCAATCTGCAATTTCAGGCCACAATTTTGCAACGTTATTATCGATCTTTACTCTCTAGGGGGCACCCACAATGCGCTTCCTCTTTGTTTTCCGATGTTGCCCAATAATCTCATGTGGATGCACTGCCGTTTAATTCACGAATGTACGATCGCTCCTAAATTGAACCATATAATGAAAAAAATATGGCAATGTTTTCGTCACGAATTAATAGGGTCTGTGCTCCTTTCATACTGCTGGGTAATCATATCGTTTTCTTGTGCATTTACTTATGCTTAGAGCGCTTTACGATTCTGCGTTGGTCTTAACAGCGAGGAAGATGCATTTCAGCGCGTGCAGATCCTGCATTGGTATCTGACCCGCGTTCACTAAGCGGATGCCGAAGGTGGGCCTCTGAAGAGCAACAGAGGTAATACCACTTTCGTTATCAAGCTGAGTGGAAAAGCCTTAGCCACCATTGGTATTTATCGTTATCTTTCTTATCGCATGGCGATTTACCCTGAATAGAAAACGACTTCTGGACTGATAAAATTCAATCATAATGGCCTGTATACGAAATATCATAATTGTTAATTATGTTAGTGACACACCCCCTGATTCGGTCGTTTCACACGATCCAGTGGATTAAAAAATCAACTCAAGACAGGATGGTTGAGTGTAATCACCTCATTTGGTTCAGTGAGTAAAAGCTGCGAAAGTCGCAATTCTGCTCATGTCCCTCGACTAGGTCAGCTCTGCGTTTGCTTACACGCTCGTCAGATATGACAATGGAACTGCATACCGCCGTATCGGTGTGGATGTTTAATGACGACTGACAACGTGAGGAAGAACCTATTCTCTTCCGAGCACAAGTGCCCTTAGCAGAGGTGGAAATTAAGGAAAGGAGCTTGTTTCGTTTTAGAAAACTGACTGAGCACAAGTCATTTACGTCAGCCCGCATTCTTTTCGATGAAGAAGTCATCATGTAATAAGGAGAATCGAGGTAGTTAGACAGAGATCTGTTTTTGAAGAAGGATTGTTTCTTGTGCAATGCAGTAAACGGTGCTTATAGTAAAGGTATGAGAAAACTGCGAATGCAAAACCAGAGTTCTGTTGATGCAA